TCCCAATATGGCCGTTAGTGAAGCTGTAGTTAGTGAGATAATAGAACAACTGATCCAGTATCAACTAGTGGAAGGGACAGCATTTTGAGCTAAATACTGTATCTATTTCAAAATCCGGACCTTTCCACATTCATTAAGATAATAACAGAAGGGAATCATTTGGTCACCATTACTCCATTTAATTTGCAATCAAGGGATCTGAAGTGTCCAGACTTCATTCTTTATTACTGGGCTGAACTGTTTGACTTTTCACATTGAAATCTTCCTTATTTGACCAAAATGTGACATCATGGGTCTGAGTCCTCCCTTCCTCTCTATCCCTACTAAGATTCAGACAAAAACTGAAAAAAACTAAATCAAATTGAATGGCAAATATTATTTTGAGAAACATTTATTTATTTCTCGATCAGTTTTTAAAGTGAGACTTTAGATTAAATAATTCAGAAAGCTAGTTAATGTGTGACTGGGTCATTGCCAAACATTCACAGTAGCAGCCATTCAAAATGCCGAATGGCAAAAAGCCGAATGGCAGCCCACTTCCCTTCAACTCCCAACTTCCAGCCACTGCAGTGATCCCCTCTGGAATATACTTCCTGAATTACAGTCTGACCAGGATTTGATGCTTCTTTTTAGATCTTAATGTCCACCAATCATAACAGAAAGAATATTTTAGTACAAAGTATAGGCCTTTTTAGCCTATTTTTGGGGCTGCTGAAGCAGCCCTGTATGCTCTTTATAGAATAAAAAAACAAACCAAAAAAAAAACAAGACTGACATTATAAAAACTATACAGCATTTGGTTATTTAACCCCTTCAATTATGTTCCGGTTAATCAGAAATAATAATAAACAAAAAAACAACTCTGATGGAGCTCCTCAACTAAAATGTTGAGCAACGCTGTGAGGAAACTGCTGCATTCAGGTGTTTCTGAAATGCTCAGTCAGATTTCTGTGTCTGTTGGTGAAATGTTTACCAGCGAGGTGCTCTAATGTCTCTGAGACGTTTTTTTGGATTATCTTTAAAACCGCAAATTAATATCAATATTTCAGTTCACTGAATCAGTAGTAAATAATTATATTTTGTTCCTGTTTCCTGTTTTTTGTATTCTTTTTTCCGTTTTCTGATTGCCTGTCCTTAGAGGGAGAGGCGTAAGGGGGGAGCGGAGGAGCTAGGTGAGTGCAAAGTGAAAGGTCAGGAAAAAGCATGTAGGAAAACAGACAGAATAGCAGTAGTTGTTAAACTGGCAAAGAAAAACATTCATTTAATAGATTATTTTACATTTATCATGGAAGTAATTTTGGCACAAAAACAGAAAACTAATTTCACGAAAACTGATTCAAAGGTTTCTATGAAATTAGTGGATTTAAAAGCTTTAATGGTTGGATTTTTCTTTTAAACAATGCTGCTTTTTGCTTTGCTTGTTGTGTTTTTGGCTCATGTCTCAGATCCAATGCATTAGTGAATGATGGAGTCAGTCAGTAGCAAAACGCACTGAACAAGTTTAGAACATGTGTGTAACAGTGAAATTAATCTTGTCTAGCCAGACAGTTCTCTGGGTGCTTAGCCCCCCTAAACCTCCAGTCCTAGAATCACCCCAGGTACAACGACTGATACAGTCATATGAAAAAGTTTGAGCACCCCTATTAATCTTAATTTTTTTTATTTATAATATTTGGGTGTTTGCAACAGCTATTTCAGCTCGATATATCTAATGACTGATGGACTAATACTGATTATTTTAGTACTGAATTGAGGTTTATTGGACTAATTGAAAATTTGCAAATGTGCAACAGGTGAAAAAAAATGGGCACCTCAGCAAAAAAGATACATTGATATTTAGTAGATCCTCCTTTTGCAAAACCAACAGCCTCTAGTGGCTTCCTGCTGCTTTGAATGAGTTCCTGGATCCTAGATGAAGGGATTTTTGACCATTCTTCATGGCAAAGCAATTCCAGTTCAGATAGGTTTGATGGTGGCTGAGCATGGACAGCCTGCTCCACATCATCCCACAGATGTTCAATGATATGTGGGGGAGGTGTGGGGATTAGGATGGCCATTCCTCTGCATGAATGCCTGAGTAGATTTGGACAATTTTCTTAATGAAATATTCATACCCGGCATAAATTCAACTTCCTAACTGATTCTTGAACATTATTCTCAATAATCTGCTAATATTGAGTGGAATCCATGCGACCCTCAACTTTAACAACTTTAACGCAGCCCCAAAGCATGATGGATCCTCCACCATATTCTACAGTAGGTAGAAAGTGTTTTTCTTGGAACGCTGTGTTTTTTTGCCACCATTCATAACACCTTTTTTATGACTAAAACTCAATCTTTGTTTGATCAGTCCACAGGACTTTATTCCAGAATGAAGCTGGTTTGTCCAAATGTGCTTTTGCAAATCTCAAGCGATTCTGTTTGTGACGTTCTTGCAGAAAAGCTTTCTGTTGCATTTCTCTCACATCCAGCTTCTCCTGGTGCAAAGTGCGTTTTATTGTTGAACGATGCACAGTGACACCATCTGCAGCTAGATGATGCTGCAGGTCTTTGGAAGTGGTCTGTGGTTTGGGGGTGGCCTGTGGTTTGGAGGTGGTCTGTAGGTTGGAGGTGGTCTGTAGGTTGGAGGTGGTCTGTGGGTTGGAGGTGGTCTGTGGGTTGGAGGTTGTCTGTAGGTTGGAGGTGGTCTGTGGGTTGGAGGTTGTCTGTAGGTTGGAGGTGGTCTGTGGGTTGGAGGTGGTCTGTGGGTTGGAGGTTGTCTGTGGGTTGGAGGTGGTCTGTAGGTTGGAGGTGGTCTGTGGGTTGGAGATTGTCTGTAGGTTGGAGGTGGTCTGTGGGTTGGAGGTGGTCTGTGGGTTGGAGGTGGTCTGTGGGTTGGAGGTTGTCTGTAGGTTGGAGGTGGTCTGTGGGTTGGAGGTGGTCTGTGGGTTGGAGGTTGTCTGTGGGTTGGAGGTGGTCTGTAGGTTGGAGGTTGTCTGTGGGTTGGAGGTTGTCTGTGGGTTGGAGGTGGTCTGTAGGTTGGAGGTTGTCTGTGGGTTGGAGGTGGTCTGTAGGTTGGAGGTTGTCTGTGGGTTGGAGGTGGTCTGTGGGTTGGAGGTGGTCTGTGGGTTGGAGGTTGTCTGTAGGTTGGAGGTGGTCTGTGGGTTGGAGGTGGTCTGTGGGTTGGAGGTTGTCTGTAGGTTGGAGGTGGTCTGTGGGTTGGAGGTGGTCTGTGGGTTGGAGGTTGTCTGTAGGTTGGAGGTGGTCTGTGGGTTGGAGGTTGTCTGTAGGTTGGAGGTGGTCTGTGGGTTGGAGGTTGTCTGTAGGTTGGAGGTGGTCTGTGGGTTGGAGGTGGTCTGTGGGTTGGAGGTTGTCTGTAGGTTGGAGGTTGTCTGTAGGTTGGAGGTGGTCTGTATGTTAGAGGTGGTCTGTAGGTTGGAGGTGGTCTGTGAGTTTTCCTTGACCATTCTCACCATTCTTCTTCTCTGCCTCTGTTATGTTTCTTGGTCTGCCTCTTGGTCTTCCATTTCCTTCCTATGTTCCTCACAGTGGAAACTAACAGTTTAAATCTCTGAGACTCTTTTTGGATTCTTCCCGTGAACAACTATGTTGAACAATCTTTGTTTTCAGATCATGGGAGAGTTGTTTTGAGGCGCTCATGATCAGTGATGGGAGTAACGGCGTTGAAGGTACCTTTTTTTTAGTAACGAGTAATCAAAATTATTACTCTTTCTGTAACTATAACGCAGTTACAATTGCCGACACCACGTTACTGCATGTTACTCAGGTCGCACAATTAACCTGTTTTCATGATAGGACTCGTGGGGGCCTTGTCATGAGAGAGGGGAGGATGGAGAGTGAGGAGGACTCCAGCGGCAAAACAGCGTTTTCCAGATGGAAATACTGGTGTTACGTTGAGCTGCGTTTCCCCATCAGATACGGTTTCCCCTGCATCTCTGCACAGCGCAGGCAGCACAATTCACCGCGCAAGCGACAGGAAACGCGCATGCTCGCTAAAGGCGCGTAACAGCCGCCCTGTGCTCGCGCCACAGGGGAACTACGGAGAGCGTGAACGATCATTAGCCTATATGGAGAAAGATGGATGATGGATGGATGGATGATGGATTGATGGATGGATGGAATAGATAGATAGATATAGCTACATGTTGCAGTATCTATAACAACCCAAACACAGGATTTCAAAATTAGACATCCCTAGTTATTAATTTCATACACTCTCAAAAGTAACGCAATAGTTACTTTTACTAGTAACTAGTTACTTTTATTGAGGAGTAACTTAGTTACTAACTCAGATACCTTTTGGGAGAAGTAACTAATAACTATAACTAATTACTTTTTCAAAGTAACGTGCCCAACACTGTCCATGATGTATCTTCAGAGGAGATTCAAACAGGAGCACAACTTCCAACCGGCCTCCTTAAATACATTTTCTCATGACTGGATACACCTGGCTATGAAGTTCAAATCTTAATGAAATCACCAAACCAGTTTTGTGTTTCAGTAAGTTAATGAAAAGTAGTTAACGGTATTCGAATCAATAAAATGATTAGGGTGCCCACATTTGTGCACCATTCAAGTTTTGTTTTAATGTGTACTTAACATTTTCTGTTAGTCCAATAAACCTCAATTCAGTGCTGAAATATTACTGAGTCCATCAGTCCCCAAATTAAATGTTAAATATGACTTTATTTAATAAAGTAATTGTTTATTAAGGGCCCTTCAATCAAAGTGGGGCCATTTAAATGGTTACTACTGTAAACGCTAAATCCTCCCCCTTTGCTGTGGTGTCCATATTTAGGGACCACCACCAGGTGGCGCCGTGCACCAGCGGACGCAGCGCCTGGAAACTGTTTCCAAGTTGCAGCAAAACTTGGATATTTAAGGATTTAGGCTCAGATGCTAAACTTTCCAGGAAGCAGAACTTCCTCTGATCTGTACAAACTTTCATCTTCCTCAGATTGATCACATGCATTAATCCAGTAATCTGTAATCTGAAATCATTTAAAGGCAGAAAGAATGCGACGCCGCGTTAAAGTGGGCCAGGGGAGGGCTGCTGGTTCCGTTGGACCCCCACCGACAGGACGGAGGAGTTTGGGCCCCTCCGCTTTGACGTAGAGATCAGGTGACTAGAACTTCTCTGACGGGACTCTTTAAAGGAAAGTTTGAGAAGTTCTGCTCACTTTTCCCTTCGATTGCTGAACTTGGAAGGAAGTTTAACCATCAAAGTCCCGCTGGGCTGGCTTCTGTAACCCTGCAGGTAAGTTCTGCTAGAACAACAGATGGGCTCCTATCTGACATCACACACTTTCTTTTTATTTTTGACTTTTCTTCATGGGTCAAAGTTTAGAGCGTTTTGAACCAGAACCAGAACCAAAGTGGGTCTGGATTTCTTCTCTCTAAAGGTTTTTCTTGTCATGTATAGAAGGATGTATTTGTCCAGGAACCAAAGGCTGTTGTGGTTCTGATGTGCAGCAGAAGTTTGGCCCCTCCAGCCCGGCCAGTGCTCTGCTCTTCTGCTCCTTTGTTCTGACAGAAGCAATCATGTAGAAAGTGGCGGGAGGGTTCCTCTTCAATGAGAGCCCTTATTGTCCTCAGCTCCTCATTAGGACTGAAGGTCCACTAAGTGGGAGTTTATGAGGACCAGCCTGCTGCCTCCTGGAGGAACTCGGTCTGAATGCCTGCAGACCTTCATGGAGAAGGTGGACTCATCAAAGCCTGAAACAGATGTTTGTTCCTTTTAAACAGACCTTTTTAAGGGGTTTCATATGTTCTGTTCAACATGAAGCTGCTGTCATTAATATGATGCAGTGTGAAAGCTTGCTGCTGAGGATCGGGCTCTTCATAACTTCAGACAGGTTTTCTTTTTGTCCAGCGATGAAAGCTTGATAACAGGATGGAAACCATTCCTCCATAGAAATCCACCAGATATGTGGAAGTGGTTCGTAAGCAGGAAGCTGATTTATTGCCTTCACACTGTGAGTAATTTAGGGGCCCTGCCCTGCCGGGGACAGACGCCTCACAGCGTCTCCTCCACATTTAATTATTGTGGAGTTCTGCTAAAATAAAACACATCAAACTTTAGGCTTTAGATGACTTTTAATTTCATTTTGCAGCTTTCTGCCCATAAATCAGAGGCCTGAAAGTTCAACTTTGGCCCACATATTAAAATCTCTCACATGACTGCATGAGAAAAAAATCCACCAATAACCGTAGGATTAGGTAGATGATTGTGATAAAGGCGGAATAGTAATTTTATTCAGAGAATGGGTCTGGATGGTTTTAATTGAATCAGACTGCTTCTGTAACTTTCCAGTTTCAGAAAGTTTCTGGATCTTAACAGTAAAGGCAGTGCTCCTGACATAATTTACTCTCTGCATCACCTTATCTGTTTTCAGAGGCTGATATTTTAGTTTTTTGTTTTTTTTTTTCTCTGATAATTTTCACTTTTAGGTAAACACTGTTGTAACCTTCTTTTCAAACAGAGTCCATTTCGATGTTTGGGTACAGGATTTATTGGGGTGTACATTTGCTTGGTGAAGTGTGATGGGTGTCAGAGGAGGCACTTTTTATTTTAAAGAAAAAAACCCTGCTCCTTGAAGCATTTTTAAATGTTCAATGTGCTTTTGCTCTAACATGGAGTCCAGGAGGAGTGGCCAGAGACCAGTTTTTCACACTAGGGCCGGGTGATTCGACCTCAAATCAATACTGCGATGAATTGGGCAGTTGAATCTCGATAACGATAAACGCACAATAAATGTTCTGGCTCCTCTATCAGAAATAAAGGCAGGGACAGGAAATGCAGCTGATTTACTTAAAATTTATTTATTGAATAACTCACATTAGATATTACTTTGAATTAAATATTAGTCTTTTACCCATTCAGTTTAAACATTCAACCATTTCTCATTGAACAGGAAAAAATGTTTCATTTTTGTGCAAAGGTAAAGGAGCCTTGTACACATGGAGCCTTTTTCGGTCAAACTTTGCATTTCGTGTTCTCCTGCTCAACATCTATGGTGTCATTTTGGTGCCACCGAAGTTTGGTGCATGGGGAACAATGTAAATCGTTTAAACTCACACACCCTCACTCAAAGCCCGTCCGCTCAACTCTGACAACGCACTCTCGATTTCTTCTCTTCACCCTCAGCGTCCTTTCTGCTCTCGTTCGGCTCCACAGGATTAACTGATGTAATTTTGTTTAAAGCCGTGTTTAGACCCTTCTCCACTCGGCTCATCCACCATTCTCTTTGTTTAAGCGTCTGACTGGATTGGTGGCTTCATGTGATTAGACAGACGCTGCTGTGTCTTAAAGGGGAAGGCAATAGCAGCCAGCCACACAGGAAAAACGGCACAATTAAATTAATTTGTTTAACCGATATGGGAAAATTGTCGCCGGTTATCGAGGTGAATTACGGAAATAGTAAAAATCCAGTTTATCGCCCAGCCCTATTTCCCTCTGTCTCTTAGTCCGGACACCAGTATTTCCAACTGTCTTTCAGTCAAGAGACCATTGTTTCCCACTGTCTCCCAGTCCAGAGACCATTGTTTCCCTCTGTCTCTTAGTCCGGACACCGGTATTTCCAACTGTCTCCCAGTCCAGAGACCATTGTTTCCCACTGTCTCCTTGTCCAGAGACCGGTATTTCCCACTGTCTCCCAGTCCAGAGACCATTGTTTCCCACTGTCTCCTTGTCCAGAGACCGGTATTTCCCACTGTCTCCCAGTCCAGAGACCATTGTTTCCCACTGTCTCCTTGTCCAGAGACCGGTATTTCCTACTGTCTACCAGTCCAGAGACCAGTATTTCCCACTGTCTGCCAGTCCTCCCAGTACTGCCTGCTGTCTCCCGGTCCAGAGACCATTGTTTCCCACTGTCTCCCAGTCCAGAGACCATTGTTTCCCTCTGTCTCTTAGTCCGGACACCAGTATTTCCAACTGTCTTTCAGTCCAGAGACCATTGTTTCCCACTGTCTCCCTGTCCAGAGACCAGTATTTCCCACTGTCTCCCAGTCCAGAGACCAGTATTTCCCACTGTCTCCTCGTCCAGAGACCGGTATTTCCCCCTGTGTCCCAGTCCAGAGACCATTGTTTCCCACTGTCTCCTTGTCCAGAGACCGGTATTTCCCACTGTGTTCCAGTCCAGAGACCATTGTTTCCCACTGTCTCCTTGTCCAGAGACCGGTATTTCCCACTGTCTACCAGTCCAGAGACCAGTATTTCCCACTGTCTCCCGGTCCAGAAACCAGTGCTTCCCACTGTCTCTCTGTCCAGAGACTAGTGGAGACCTGAAGATGGTGAGAAATACTGGACTCTGGACCAGCAGACAGTGTGAAACACTGTTCTCTGGAGACAGTGGAAGACACTAGCCTAAGGACCCGGAGATACTGGGAAACACTTGCCTCAGGACCAGGCGATAGTTGGAAACAATGGTCACTGGACCAGGAGACACTGGGAGACAGTGGGAAGTACATGTTTCTGGACCAGAAGACAGTGGGAAACACTGGCCTCAGGACCAGGAAATACTGGGAAACACTGGGGAAAACTAGTGTCTGGACCTGGAGACACAAGAAGACAGTGTGAAACACTGGTCTATGGACAAGGAGATAGTTAGAAACACTGGTCTTTGGACAATTAGACACTGGGAAATAGGGGTAAACACTGGGCTCTGGACTGTGAGACACACTATTGTCTGGACCAGGAGACACAGGCAAACTCCAGTGTTTGGACAAAGATACCAGTGTCTCCCCATGTCTCCCTGTCCAAAGACGCCATCTCCCAGTTAAGGGAACAGTGTCCTTGTCTAAAGACCAGTGTTTGTCACTGTATCCTGGTCCAGAGACAAGTCTTTTCCACTGTTTTCTAGTGTCTCCTGGTCCAGAGAATAGTTTTTCCCATTGTCAGCAACAGTGGCGTCGGGTGCAGGAGTTTGCCCTGCAATCGGAGGGTTGTTGGTTCGAGCTCTGGCTTTCATTGTTGTTGTGTTCTTGTTGAAGACACGTCACCTGCATTGCCTACTGATTTTGGTCAGAGGGCCAATGTGCGGCAGCCTCGCTGCAATCAGTGAGTCCTAGGGAAGCTGTGGCTTCAAGGTAGATTGCCACCATCAGTGTTTGAGTGTGTGTGTGAATGGATGAATGACTGAATGTAGTGTAAAACACTTTGGTCAAGTCCCCTGACTTGAAAAAGCACTATATAAGTACAGGTTATGTATCATTGCCTCAAGTGTTCCTCACTAACTTCCAGTTTCTCTGGGATATTCGATGCATTGTTTCATCAGACCTTTCATTTGTTCAATTATTTTCTTTTAGTTTAGTTTAATCAAATTAAAGTTTCAAACAATTAAAATTACAAAAGCTAAAACTGTTCTTTACAAACACTTATCATTTAAGCACCAGTATCTCCTCTATCTCTGTGTTTAGATATTAACCTTGTGATTTCTCTTACAGCTCCCACTCCTGAAGAATGGGTGACTGGAGTGCTTTGGGTCGTCTTCTGGACAAGGTTCAGGCCTACTCTACTGCTGGGGGGAAGGTCTGGCTGTCGGTTCTCTTCATCTTCAGGATCCTGGTGTTGGGTACTGCAGTGGAATCAGCGTGGGGAGATGAACAGTCTGCCTTTAAATGTAACACCCAGCAGCCTGGGTGTGAAAATGTCTGCTATGACAAATCCTTTCCCATCTCTCATGTCCGTTTTTGGGTCCTCCAGATAATTTTTGTCTCCACACCCACGCTCCTGTACCTGGCTCATGTTTTTTACCTCCACAGAAAGGAACAGAAACTTAACAGAAAGGAGGAGGAACTGAAAGCAGTGCAAAACGATGGTGGTGATGTTGACATCCCGCTGAAGAGAATAGAGATGAAGAAGATGAAATATGGCATAGCGGAGCATGGCAAAGTGAAGATGAAGGGGGCCTTACTGAGAACCTACATTGTTAGCATCTTTTTCAAGTCCTTGTTTGAGGTTGGTTTCCTGGTGATCCAGTGGTACATGTACGGCTTCACATTGTCTGCAGTCTACACGTGTGAGAGGTCACCATGCCCACACAGGGTGGACTGCTTCCTGTCTCGTCCAACTGAGAAGACCGTCTTCATCATTTTCATGCTGGTTGTCTCTCTGGTTTCTCTGTTGCTTAACATCATTGAGCTTTTCTACGTATTCTTTAAGAGAATTAAAGACCGTGTAAAGGGAAAGCAACCACCCACCCTCTACGCCAGTGGAGGGACTCTGAGCCCCACCCCTAAAGAGCTGTCCACATCCAAGTATGCTTACTACAACGGCTGCTCTTCCCCAACTGCTCCCCTCTCACCATTGTCCCCCCCAGGTTACAAGCTGGCCACCGGGGAGCGAGGAACCGGGTCATGCAGAAATTATAACAAACAGGCCAATGAGCAGAACTGGGCAAATTACTCTACGGAGCAGAACCGTTTGGGCCAAAATGGTGCAGGGAGCACGATTTCAAACTCCCATGTTCAAGCCTTTGACTTTCCTGAAGATACACATGAGCAAAAGAAACTCCCCTCATCAGCTGGACATGACCTGCAGCCTCTGGCTCTCATTGATGCCCGGCCTTGTAGCCGGGCTAGTAGCAGGATGAGCAGAGCGAGGCCAGATGACCTGGATGTGTAAGCCTTGGCCACTCCTTCCATGTCTGTCCAACTGTCAAGGTTCCTCTATGCAGGCAGAAGATCAGGCAAGGATTGATAGCATGTTCCTCTAATCTGGGACTAACCTCAGTGGCAGTCCTTAGAGTAGACACTCCTGAGAAATAATAAACTTCATTAAAACTGAAATGTCTTCTAACCCTTTTTAAAGGTACAGGTTGCATATAATTAATGCTGTAACTTCCAAAAATGTTAAAAGAGTAAAAAAACAAACCACTGGACTTGTTTCCAAGTTTAAAAATGTTTCGCTTCCCATCTAGGAAGCTTTTTCAATTCAAAATTCCTAGATTAGAGTTGAGTAAATCTGGAAGCTTTATAGAGTTGTAAAGGCTTAGAAACTGAAAAAAACACGTCCATCCCTTGGTAATGCAGAGTCGTTGAAGTCGTTGTTGGTCTGCTACAACCATTCACACATGGACTATTGGATGGCATCAAAAAGGTCAGGTAGTTCAACAAGGGAATAGTAACCTAGAACAGTTACTGGTTAATTGAAATATAACAATTCAGAACCCTGGAACTCTATTTGTCTGGGTTTGGATCGGTTCTGATTCAGGTAAGGACACGGCTAATGGAGAATGAGCAGATAGCTGGTAGGAATGACAGGTTGCTGAAAGGAACCTCATTTTCATGTCCTCCTGCCATATCATCTGCTATTATTTGCAGCCCCTGTCAATTTGTCATCTATAGTCCAACAACAAGACGGTCCTCTATAGTCTGACCTTTAAGTTGTCCTCTATAGTACGACCGTCATGTTGTCCTCTATAGCCCCACCGCCATGTTGTCCTCTATAACTGGACCATCATGTTGTCCTCTACAAACTGACCATCCTGTTGTCCTCAATAACCTGACCGTCATGTTGTCCTCTATAGTCCGACCATCCTGTTGTCCTCTATAGTCCGACCATCATGTTGTCCTCTATAGTCCAACCATCATGTCCTCTATAACCTGACAGTCATGTTGTCCTCTATAACCTGACCGTCATGTTGTCCTCTATAACCGTACCATCATGTTGTCCTCTACAAACTGACCATCCTGTTGTCCTCTATAATGTGACCGTCATGTTGTCCTCTATAGTGCAACCGTCATGTTGTCCTCAATCGTCCGACCATCATGTTGTCCTCTATAGTGCAACCGTCATGTTGTCCTCAATCGTCCGACCATCATGTTGTCCTCTATAGTGCGACCGTCATGTTGTCCTCAATCGTCCGACCATCATGTTGTCCTCTATAGTGCAACCGTCATGTTGTCCTCAATCGTCCGACCATCATGTTGTCCTCTATAGTGCGACCGTCATGTTGTCCTCTATAATGCGACTCCAATGGCTTCTGCATTAGGAACTGAGCTTTCAGTCCAGTGTTTTTGTTTTTGTTTTGATTGTTGTAGAGATGTGCTGTTCTGGTTCTGGAGGAAAGACAAACCTCTACCTGTCCCTGTCTCATCTTCCCACATGTTTTTATTTTCTAATCTTTCTTGGTTACTGCAGCAGACTGATCTTCCACCACCTGTTGGTTTTTTTTTCTGTATTACTACAGTTGGTTATTTAATGAACAGCATCCTTGGCTTAGATACTTGAGTGAATGTTTTATTTTTCGTTTATTTAACTCATTGCTGCTTGAGGAATAGATATGTATAGTACTGTAAATCAAGCTGTCACAGAAAAATGTGAATTATGTTGAAGCCTGGTCATAGATCTGGACTAATGTTTAGTCTTTACTTTCAATCCAAATCTGTTTAGGAAAACTAGATGAAACCTTATTTGGGGACTTAATTGCAATTTAGTCTAATTTTGTGTCCGTTTTATTTTTTTCTTGGTACAGACGAAGATCTTTACAGCTACAGATAATTTGCACTGAGATCTTGCTGTTAAAAGATGTAACTTGATGCAACTTGCATATGGTGTGTTTTCTGATAAATATGTTACTAATTTATTTTAATAACACAAAGCTAAGCTGTGGTCGGTATAACAGAGAGTGACCATTTTTAACAAATCGGTTTGTGATCTTTCTTCCTCTTTGTTCCATAAATCAGAAGCAAACATTTGCAGTTTTCTTTCCCAGGGGATCTGTTATTGTAAAAAAGACAGACATTAAAACCAACATATTAACTGCCTGTGAAATGGAGTCTTACCCAATAAATGTTTTCAGTCCTCATCCATGTTTAAGGTGTTTTATTTCCTGAGATCATCAGTTTGATTTGAAACAATAGAAATTTTCTTTTTTCCATATTCTCAGCAGCTGTCTTGATTTTTTCTTTTTCAGACTTTCATGTCATCAGAATATTAAAGGGTTTTCCAGTTTCCATCAGAAACTATAGCTAGGCTTACTCAATAAATCCACAATGATTTGATTTATTTCCATCATCTCATTCTGAAAGTGAAGCTTCCAGATGAACACATTAGTTCCTCATCAGAGCAAAATTAAACTTACACTTCAGTATAATTTCTGGTCTCAGCTTTGTTAGAAATAATAAGATGGGTATCAAAGAAGTCCTTTCACATATAAATGCTGATGTGTTCTGACAGCTTTTAGATGTGCAGCTTTCCCAGTATGTAAAACCAGTGCTTACTAGTCATTCTGCCCATGGACCAGGATCAGCTCTGGGTTCATCCATACATCTGTCATGAGTCCTGCTCCTGGTTCCCACTTTGAAAATGACCATAAACCCAATCTTTATGTAAGTCCGTTACATCAGGCAGTTTTTGTTCCATCACAATAAAACCTTTATCATCTTTTATATCACTGCCTACTGAGAGGAAAGCTCTGATTAGCCTATTATATCGTCTATTTCAGGCTCTATTGCAGAATTGAGGTATTTATTACAGAAATCCCTCTTTAGAAATATCTTCACCAACACATTGTGCTGGATGACTGAACTCGGCCATCTCCAATTATGTTTGACATCTCCACAGGCCTCAGCTTTTGGCAACGCTCCCCACATACCAGCTGCCACATGTCGTTACTGAGATCTATGGGTCAGAAAAAGTCTTGACCCAAACATGACATGTCTGCACTACCTGCTTTGTCAGACGTTCACCGTGCACGAAGAAGACAACAGGGCTATATGCTAGAGCTGATTCTTGCCATGCCAAGCATGTTAATGTTCAGAAATTTCTTATATGAAATAACATTTCTTTGGAATATTCTTTAAATGGTGTTTAAATGTAAAACTTTGCTCCTGCTGCTGCTCAGAGTCGATTCTGGATGACCGACTGAGAAAACCAATAACTGAAAGCAATCAGTCCATTTAAAAATATTGATAAAGGTTTTATAAAGGGTACACAGTCATCTACTAACATGCGAAGGTTAATTAATATCATCCATTTTTCAGCCACCAGCAACAAATATTTTCTTACTAGATGCAGAAAAGGCATTTATCGAGCTGACTGGAAATTCTTATTTGCAACATTTAACAAATTCAGGTTTGGACCAAACTTTATTGACGGGGTTAAGATATTATACAGGTCAGCCAATGAGTGTTTTAAGACTAATGATCAAATTTCTCCAAGCTTCAGTCTGACGAGGGGGACCAGACAGGGATGCCCACTTTCTCCATCACTATTTGCCATTTTTATAGAACTATCAGACAAGATAAATGGAAATATTAAGGGAATTCAACCAAAGGACTTTGAGCATAAAATCAGCCTTCATGCTGATGAGGTTTCACTTTTCCTCTAAAACTCACAGGCATCTGAGGCATTGATAAATAAATTATCAGAACTCTCTGACTACCCTGTCAGTTGGTCTAAATCTGCAGCCCTGCCTATTAACTGTTGTTTCTTTTTTACATACTATTTATATTAGATATTTAGACTTAGATTCAACTTAATTTAATTCTGGTTCCAGTAGCTTATATAGAGTACAAAGACTTAATGCAAGATGCCAATAAAGATAAAAATACAACCGACAATATAAAAAGAGTGCATATAGTACAAAAAAACATAAAAAAGTTGTAATGTCCTGGAATATGTTTTGACTTTGTTTCTGTCATTGTGTTTTTATCTTTTGTACAGTGACCTTGAGTGTCCAGAAAGGCACCTTTGAAATAAAATGTATTATTATTATTATTATTATTATTATTATTATCATCACTAAAGAGTGTCCAGCTCAGAGCAATAGGATCCAGGAATTGAGGCGGACAAACAGATTTCTCAATACATTTATTGGAAACAGCAGTAAGTCAGGAACCTCTGCAAGAGACAACAGGCTAGTGATCACGTCTCTCTGATAGAGGATGATAACGAACATGTGAGTCACTAAGCTGGTCTTATAGTTCAGTCTGAGCCCAGAGGGGTACGTTGGGTCCAGCCGTTTGGCCACCAACACTGAGCAGGGGGTCCCACCCAGAGAGTCACAGATGCTGATGTATCGGTGGTCAGAGGACAGGCAGGAGAACAGAACCGAGCAGAAGAAGGTAGGCAGGATAAGACAAAGCCCATGTTGATAACGTGCTAAGTTAGCAGAGCCCGGAGGTCAGAGATCCAGTGAGGTGCTGAGGGAGAATCCATGACAAAGTTGGGCAGTGATTCCAGGTTCAGTACACAGGCAGGCAGAGATCTGGCAGGAGTCTGAGGACAAGTCAAACAAATAGATCAGAACTGGGACAGGCAGGCGCAGAGGGCAAGAGGCAGAACGGGTCAGGATCAGACAATCAGAAACAGAACTCTCATAACTGTCTCCAAAATAATCTGCAGAGTTGTCAAGTACAAATACATTGTTACTGTACTTAAGTACACTTGTTAGGTATCTGTACTCCATTATATATTTTTTCTCCTACTTTTGAAATGAATGCTTAATTTAATATGACATGTAAAAAAAACTCCCCATCAGCATCCAGCATATGTGAGGTGGAGATGAGAAATCAGCTTCCTGGTCTGTTGAAGCACCAATAGTTTGGATCCAATCTTTGAAATAAACGGTGTTTGTTTGTTGAAATATATAAGAATTATTCTCCAATTTGTAATAGGGCTTGGTCGTCATGATGTAAGCACTTTGCATCGCCGCCATCTTGAGTGCCTCTTTTACCGTACTCCCACTCAGCCGTGTTTAATCTGATTAATTTCACCTTAACTTGGTTTCAACCATGGTAAACCGTCGCTGTATTGTGGGCTGTAACAGCGCAACATATGATCGCCATGGGAAAAACATAGAAAATGGGTTAACTTTCCACCGCTTTCCTGCCTGGAGGCGCAACCAGTGAGACCAAGTGTCAGAGATAAAGAGTCGTCGGCTAGCTTGGATCGCGGCTGTAAGACGATCGAATATAACTTTCCACAGTTTCCCGATGTCAATGAGAGTGTGTTCCCTGCATTTTCATTCTGGTAAGTTAAAGATGCACGGTTTTATTGTTTACATTGTTTCTTTCCTTCAAGGTTGGGATCTTTTACGGGAAAATAATAAAAACGGCAGCAGGAAAAGGCTCAAATACGTGAGAAACCCGGAGGGTTGGCAGTTAACGTTACTAACTACACCTTTGAAACACATAGCAGCTAGTTAAAAGTACATTACATGCATGAGTGGTTGTTAGCACTTAGCAGTTACTAAACTAGCAGGTTCCAGAGCCTGTCTAAGCACAGCTTACCTTCGTACGGATTACTGTGTTCCCACTGTTTGCTGGCTTTATGATCTGCAGCTCCTGAACCCATCCATTCATGAACTGCACATGAGACTCCAAGGACTTGTAGCTTTGTTTTGAAGTTAGGGTGGCCATTTCTATAGCACCAAAAAGGAGGACATTGTGCGGCATATCAATAAATTACTAAGGTGTACATAAGAATCGGGTAAAGTCACATTTATAGCACAATTCTTAGTAGTTTAAAGAGGATGCTTGTGTAGCTGAATAGAACAAAATATTAAAGAAATGTAAAAAATAATTGGTTCCCAGCATTTGTATTTATTTAATACATTGTGGTGTTTAAAAAGTGACCATTTTTTAACACAATTAATTTGCGCAGAACTGCTGCAATTGATCATAAAGCAGTTGTTTGGAAAAGAAGCTCGAGAAAGAGCTAGAGAATAGGACAATGCAAACTGCAAAAAGTGGCTGGAAAAGAGGAATTCATGACATGGCTGCAGCCTGTCGAGAGTAAAGATGATTTCACCATGTTCTCTATCTATCCATATCTATATCTATATATCTATATCTATATCTATATATATATATATATATATATATATATATATATATATATATATATATATATATATATATATATATATATATAAACTTGAGTCATGGAACTGTGCTTACAGCTCCTTATTTCATGTAAACTAATAACTTGTGTACATGATACTTGTTGATGGCATTAAAATTATTTCTAATAGCATTAAAAGAGCATTAAATTAGAGTTCCTCATTCCTGTATAAAACCTGTGAACGCTTAATTTAATCTGACATATTAAAAAAATCCCCATCATCATCCAGCAGATGTTCAGTTTCTGCCCAAATATTTTCTTTCTGTTGTGGATTTTTGTAACAGGGATAACTAGGATCATACATAGTTTGTATGAACTCTGTTTATTCTCTGCTTCCAAACACATCATCTCTTCATCCATTCCTGCAATAAGAATTTTCTTTTAAAGTTGTGAGATTCACTCTAGAATCTTACAACTTCTTCCTGGTCTGTTGAAGCACCAATAGTCTGCATCCAATTATTTAATTAATTGCTCTTAGTTTTTGGGAATATATACAAACTATGCTCTAATTTCTAGATACCGATCTGTTTTTACTATAATTTAATTTGACAAACCGGGTCTTCTCTACATTCTTTTTTCTGTTTGGTGCGATTGCAATAGCGGGTCTTGATCTGGACGGACCGGAGGGGAGCAAAAAATAGCTCAGCTCCATATTTTGACTGTGAAGGACGGAGAAGACGTACGTGGGCGGTGACGAGCGGAGGATGTGGAACAGCTCTCATTGATTTACATGACAGACAAGTACTCCGTACGTGAGCGGGGCGGAGCGCTGACGGAGTATGTGGAATCTGGGGGTAAAGGAGGACAAATACACGTCCGGCTGGGTGCAGCGCCGGACGCCGGACAGTGCAATGAAAATCCGGACTGTCCGCCCTAAAGCCGGACATCTGGCCACCCTATTTGAAGTATAGGCGCTCACTCATCGGTGCTCCACTCATTGTTTGGAACTTCATATGGATC